TGGACATTTATGGTTTGATTTCTTTGTATGTATGGTTCACTTGGGTTGTTACCGACATCTGGTGAAAATTTCATGTCCTTAGCACCTCTAGTAATATATTTACTGAGACAAATGTTGACGTGTTCAATACTTATTTTACTCGCTGTAAATAAATTACAAGTTAAAAGGGGCACAGAAATTTCTCCTTTTTGCATCAAAAAAATATCGAACCACAAGATTAAAGTATCGAACCGAACCAAGCCATAAATTTTCTGTATCGTTGCACCCCTAGTTGCAGGGTTTAAGGGTTGGAAGTAAAACTGAAACGACAGAAGAATTTACTCATTAAATATTCCAGTATAAATATACGTAAACCATATTTGTGCTGCTCATCAAAGTTGGTCTTGATGTGTCAAAAATGTTTTTCGCTTGCAGCTTTGTGGCGACTTCATAGATGCATGAGACAGTGTGCTGTGACAAAAGATTTGTAACACCAAGTCCCGAAAAGACAAGTTGTTCTACAACGCTTGTTGTGGTCTGTTTGTAGATGCTTTCATTGCAGTTTTCTGTGACTGTGAGAAATCTGATAAGGTAGTTTTCAACAATCTGTCATCTAAAAATGAGAAAGAGGAACAACTTTGAAACTTTGATTTGAAACAGCACTTTTATTTTAAAATACAGGGGGATGTTTTTATTTAATGCTCTTGAAGAAACGTGACAGTGTGTCGCAAACACACCAGCTGTGATTCATTTAAGTCATCGTGACAAATCCTAAAACAAAACCAAAATCTTCACCTTGGTTTAAAGTGCACAATGAAATTTTCACTTGAGCTGGTTTTAAAAAGAGCAAAATGTGAAGTTGGAACATTAAACAAATAAATGTAACAACCTTATTTTGTTAAGTTTTTCAAGCTTAACATGGCTTCCCGGTGCCTACATACGCCATCTGAAGGCGATGGTGATAAAACACAACGTGACCTARGTTTGTGACTTTGTGTGTCAGTGTGTGTTTTTCAGACAGAACTTTCCACTGAGTAGGTGGATGCGTGGGAGGCAGGTGGAGGAGGGGTTTCCTCTGTGGTTGGCATCCCCGAACAACAAAAAAAAGGACTTCCCCATAATACACACACACACACACACAC